ATAGATTACCAAGAAATAACATAACATATATAAATTTTCACCTCAAAATATAAATTACCAGTTCATATTCATCTGAATGTAAAACCATATACCATTAACTTCCAGGGATGCATTCTGACATAATATGGCCTTTTAAGTGCATCCTTAAAATATGGTAAGCTCTCTACTAGAATATTGGCCGTGAGGTTAAAGATTAGAAAGAAAAAGCGGTTAAAACAAACAATAAAAATTCAGGCCCATGCAAGGAGTGCAGAGATTAACATCCAATAAACTGCATTTAAAATTTTATTTGAGTCTTAAATCTAGCAAGGAAAGATGAAATTCACAGAAACTAATATCACAAGAAAATTATTTTTTTGATGAATACAATTTAAAAATTGCGTTTCATGTAGCTATATATATTTGAGATTCAGAATGAAAATAAGTTAGCTATTTGTGACTTCATTTGAGGCTCCCTGAACCTTGAAAAAATTACACACAAACAAGTGGATTTGTCTCATAATTGCTTAGGAGAAAAAATAGTAATAAAAAGATGCACTGCAACTATAATGGATATAAGGTGGCTCATAATTAACTATGTTCATTTGATTCAAAATAGTAATACAAACACTACACCAAAATAGTGATTTTCTCATAGCGTATTTATGTGAGAAAATAATCAAAATTTTATGAGAACATCATTTTTCATAGAATTTTCACAACAAAAGGTCCATAACTAAAACAATCAAAGAAAAAATATTTCACACAAATAAAACAGTGAGAACGATTTCTCACATTATTATTTGTAAGAAGTTTCTCACAGCCTTTAAAACTGCAAGACATTCTTGCTGAAAGGTTTTAAGAGAAGTTCTTGCAATATAAATCTAAGACAATTTCTCACACATAAATGATGTGAGAATTTTTCTCATATCGCTATGCTAGAGAATTTTTTATAACCATTTTCTATAATAAATTCTCATGTATAACAAATTTGAAATAATTTCTTTTGAATTTTTTGCAAAGAAAAATTCGTTAGTCTCATAATAATGTATTGTGAGAAACACTACAACTAATGCCACATCACTTACCACCTTACGCCATTTCAATTGCCACGTATGCATTACCACGTGTGCATTTGCTCATGCCACCTAATGTCATGTCACTCACCATGTGTAGGTCAGCTCATACCATGCCATTTGCCACGTCACCATCTCATATGCTGCATGTCATTTGCCACCTCACGCCACATCACCTCCTCATGCCATGCCATTTATTTGTTGCAAAATATGCTAATGTTGAAGATTTGAACCTTTGATCTTTCATCTTTTAAGGCTTATGCCTTTTTCTTTACTAGTTGAATTAAAACACGCCTGCAATCATCATATATAAAATTAAATATATATTAATACTTCATACGCATTATAGAATATTCCCTCCGTTAAAAAATATAAGGCATTTTTAATTGAATTTCATCTTAATAAAGTAGTTACTTACTTTCAAATTAAACCTATCTTTTCATACGCATTCTTATTAAATACCCTACAATAATATAAAGTCATTCATCAATAGGGGTACTTTTTAAAAAAAGAAAATGATTATACCTCAAAAAACTAAAAATGCTTTACATTTTTGAACAGAGGAAGTAATATACTATTAAAAATGTAACAGCCCTCTGCTCACCCCGTCTACTTGAGGTCTTTTGCGGCGCTGGACACTCTCTCCCCCCTCCCCCAGCAGGCCCCACAACAGGGTCACCCCACCCCTTACGGTGGTTCAATGGTACTAGACTCTGCCTCAACATTCGCTATGTAGGAGAGGTTGTGGGTTCGAGTCTGGGGAGGCTCTCCGCAAGGGGAATAATCCGCATACTACTGTGGGGAAGCCTTTGTCTCCTGATGCTCACCGTAAGGGGTGGGTCGCCCTGTTGTGGGGCCTGGGGGGAGAGTGTCCTGCGCCGCAAAAGACCTCAGTTAGGCGGGGTGAGCGGAGGGCTGTTACAAAAAATATACATATATTTTATTTTATTTTTAATTAATAATATAATAAAATAATTTATATGACTATTTATATTATATTTTTAATAAAATATTATTTTATCAAAAAATATTTTTTTATGAAATGAACTTAAAAGAAATAAATTTTAAAAATTAAATAATTTATTTTAAATATTTTGACCAATTTATAATTTTTTAAATTAAAATAATTAAATAAATAATATGTATTATATTAGTTTATGTTAGATATCTTTTACTTTTATTTTCCTAAATTTTTTTTAAAATCTAATAAATAAATGACTAAATTTTTGTCTTCTTCCAAAATAGTTAAATGTTTTCCTTCCTTTCTTAAAATAAATTTTATCCACAATTTTTCAATTATCTTAAAAAGTATTTTAATAAAAAAATTAATTTTAATCATATAAATTTTGGTAATAGTCATTTTGAATAATTTTTAATTTGTAATGAATACCAATAGCTCACGATCTAAAATAATTATAAAGATATCATATGTGATCACTATAGATAACCTCTAATCATTACCTACCTGAAAACAACAAGCCAAAGAAATTTGAACCAAGCCTAAATAGTCAAATTCTTTTTTATTATTAATAGTCAAATATTAATTTTTTTAAAATATAAATTAAAATTGACTAAAAAATAAACAATAAAATAAAATAATACTCCCCCCGTTTAAAAATATAAGGCATTTTCAACCGAATCTCACCTCCAATAAAATAGTTACTTACTTTCCAACTAACCCTATATTTTTATATTTATCCCTATTAAACACCTTATAATAAATATAAAGTTATTATCAATAGGAATACTTTTTTTAAAAAGGCAATGATTACACCTCAAAAGACTAAAAATATCTTATATTTTTTAACATTCAACTCTTCAAAAATACCTTACATTTTTAAACGAAAGAAGTATTTAATAATTTAGTTATTTGGTTCAACTCAAAAGCACAAGTTATTAGGGTTAAGTTTGGCTATATGACTTTTTTTATAAAGGTAATGAGTACCTATGCATTATTATTTACTTAAGGATATAGAAGTCTTTAGGAAAAAAGTTTCTCAATATTTTTATACTTTATTGTAAAAAAAAATACTTAAATAACTTTCTCACATCTATTATCAACGAGAATTTCTCACACTTAGGAATACAGTGAGAAATTATTCAATAATAATTTCTCATGGGTAAGAATTTGAGAGAGAATTTCTTGGCATATAAATTGTGAGAAAAATTTATATTTACTTTATTTTATTATATCAATTATTAATTGATTTTATTTGTAATAAAAATAAAATATTTATATGCTTTAAAATGTAGATAAAAAGATTTATAGTTTGATTTTGGACAAAATCAATATCATTTGAATAATTTTAATCAATTAGTAACAAAATTCATATAAAATAAAAAAAACAGTTAAATACTTTTTTCATAAAACTAATTTTTTAGTTAATTAATATTATTTAACAAAAATGATTGAAAAAAGAAATATATACTTGAGTAACTTTTTCACAGTGATTATCAATGAAAATTTTTCACCGCTAATAAATTGTGAGAAACATTCAAGATAACAATTTCTCATTGGTAAAAATTTTAAAAAAAATTTCTCATGGATAATGTATCGAAAGAAGTTCTCATCATTACGCTGGCCATGAGAAATGCTTGTTCAAAAGACTTTCTCATGGAAACTATTTGAAGAGAATTTCTCATAGTATACAATCCATGATAAATAATTATGGCATGGATAAAAAGCATAGGAACTCTATCATTTAAAAATGTTTCTCATGAGTACAAATTTTGTGAGAATTTCTTTTACACATATTGTTTAGGAGAAATTGTTTTTATTATATTTTGATAACATTCCTTTTGTTTTCTCATGATTGCCAACCCTGAGAAAGCTGCCTCCAAATTGGCGCCATAATGAGTTATAGTTCTTGCAAATTTTCTCACGCAATTCTGATAGATAATTTTTTATATCATAGTCATGAGAAAAAAGTATGAAAAATCATACATAAACTGATTTTTTGTGAGAAAATCTACAAAAAATTATCATGTTTTAATGTTCGTGAGAAATTTCTTTGAAAAAAAAGAATATTTTCTTGCAGTGAAAGATGATGACGACTGCTGCAAGGTGGCTGTCAACTAACTAGCTTGTGGGGGTTGGTTATTGTTCAAGCCTGAAATGGGATCAAGTTTGTTTACAAGGGGGGCAACAAAATCTTTGCAACTAGTTATTTTCCCTTGAACAAACAATCTTAAGGTTAAAACGGAGATCATAATCTTCTCTCATTCTTAAATCCAACAATTATTGGAGCTTAATAATGTACTCATCTGGTTTTATTTATAGGATATAAAAAGAAGATTAATTTTGATCATATTTACATGACAATTCATTATTTTATATATTTATCTTTACTTTTTGATCTTTATTAAATGCTATAAAAATTGTTAAAAATAGTTCCTTTTGTTTTAATTAGAGGATAGAGAAAAAAACTTACTAAAATTTAAGATAAAATTAATAATATTTAATCTTTTTCTTAATTTTAATGAAACATACTGAAAGGATAACGATGAGAGAAGAAAGACATCCAGTGGTAGAATTTTCTTCAATACAGCAGATCCTCCGACCCACAGAATTTGATTCAAAACCTGTGTCACTAAACGTCTATATTCTCTCTCTCTCGATAAATATACCAAATTAGAGTAATGTTCTACATTTTGTTCCGTGAAATTCCTTAACCCAAGGTTGAGCGGTTGCTAATTCAACTACTCTTGGTATAAATTAAATTAGAGCAATATTATTCTTAATTTTGTTTTGAATCTCTTTGCCTTTCTCTCCTCTCAAATATAGGTAGACTCACAGTCAAACAATACGCTATAGACTAATTAGGCTGTTTGGAATTTGGATAACACTTTTAGCACAAGTCCCCCAATCTAGCTTCCCCATACGAGAAGGAACCAAATTAAATTAAAGAAACGTACTAGAGAAAAAGTAGTATAATTCTATGAAAATATAATGAATTCCATTGCCAAATCGATACAGGTAATTATCTTGTTGACAGCAAAACACTTGGAAGAAAACCTGACACAGCTTGAGCGGATCAGACTTCAAAGACAGAAAAAGTAAAAAAAAAAAAAGAAACATTCGCAGTAACAATCATTAAAGCAAAGACAAGTCAAGTTAAGCCCCATCATGATGAGCTTAATAATGGAGCTATATATCTAGTTGTTCCTTGAGAGGGCAAACGCAGACATGACTATCAAGCAGTCCAAAATAAGCACAGTAACGAAGGATGAAACCACTGCTCCACTTGTTGCCTGACAGAAATCAGTAAACTGACTGCAGACAGCAAGCCAATTGGTGTCTTGATTTCCATTGTGAGCCAAGTAAACTATCGATGCTGCTGCAGCACCACTTGAAACCGCCAGAGTCAGAAACACCTGCAATTCATAATCATTTAACATGAACTTCATATAATTAAAAGTAGTGAAGTCATACTAAATTAATGGTAATGATTTCATAGAGCTTAATTAATTACTGTGTCCAGGATAATGAGGAGAAGCCTTGCTCCGATTGCTTGAGGTCGTAATATGGTCACGACGGAGAAAGGAAGAGAGAGGACCAGGTATCCACCCACAAAAGCCATTGCGATAACAAAAAACCTGCATTTTCGCAACCAGTTAACATAACGGCCACTGTTTCTTTCTATATCTGGAAACATCTCGAGATGATTGGAGGATATGAATAGGTTAGTGATCACGTACTGGAAAGAGGTGAAATCGTCGTAGCTGGCTTCAAAGCGAAAGAACTGAGTGAAAAAAGGTAGAGTTTGATCACTGGTTCCCATGGAGGCTGCGGCACCGAGAGCAGCTGCGATGGCGCCAAGTCTGAGGATGAAGTCTATTATGGCTATCCCTCTTCTCCATCCTGCCTGCCTCGGTGCTGGAAGAAGAGGTGCTTTTTCTCTGGTGTCAACATTGCTTGTCTCTGGTACATCAATGGTGGTTGACATTTTCGGCTTTGAAGAAAGCGACAATAATCTATTGAGAAGACTGTAAATTAATTAATGGATGTGAGAGCCAAAGCTTGCGATGCAAATGGCTTGATTCATGGTGAAGCTTATATAGGGAAAATGGGTGGATATACTAAATGACAAGTCTATTAGTCAAAGGGCTAAAGAGGAGTTGTTGTACGAAACCAACTCAAACTTTCGTGTGTATGGCAAAGCAAGTAGCAAAAGTGCACTTAATCAACCTTCTTTTCTTGGGTTTCTTTTTCTTTTTTTAGAATTGAAAAGGATATAGTTGCCATGCACGATATTGAGTTTTGGACAGATTGGGTCAAATTTGCATGGATTTAAGCGCTGACTGTGGCTTTTTGTAACGAGCAAGATGAAACACCACACTTTATAGTGGGACTTGAGCTCGAATTCCAACCTGCTGATTTTATCAACAGCTTATTAACTATTAATAATCAGTCAACCAAACCACAAAGCTTCCCTAGTCCAATGGTGAACGAAGCAGAAGACTTTGTCATACAAATCAAGTTTCTAAGGTGAGTCGCATCGTTGATATCATCCACTTGAATTTTATGGAAAAAGTTTGCAACATTTTGTTAACACCATGACGTTAACTCACTGCTACTTTGTTGTTCAAAAGATTAAATTTTTCGTGATGCAACAGAGTCATATAAACAGATAAAATTTGAGACTTAATATTCACTCCTCTTTTTTAAACAAAGCTTCTAGTATTGTACCGCAAAATTGTGTATTAAATTACTAAGAAAAGCACTCTTTTCCTTTTTATGGATGCAAACAAGAAAAGTACACATTTTTCCAGTCGATCCATCGTGTTACTCATTCGATGCGTCATTGTGTGTGTGTGTGTGTGTGTGTGTGTTCCATCCATCGTGTTACTCATTCGATGCGTCATTTTGTGTGTGTGTGTGTTTGTCAAGGGAAAGAGTTAGAGAGAGAAGACGATGGAAGATGAGCTATTACCTGGTTTGGTGGGATAAAAGCAAAAGGAAGTTACGTTTTCTCCCTCCTTATTTGACGTAAAAAAAAAAAACATTAAGTAACGAGTTATATATAATAGATATTTATAATCCAACAAACATTAACTTTGTACTGTTGATTTAAATTTATTTCTATATAAAAACTATTTTCCAATCGGGAGTTAAAAGAGATAACGTCATAAAATTGGACATGGCCGTTAACGTACTCCAAAACGGAGATATCCAGAATGACACCGCAGCCGCAAGATAATATGATCCAACGACATTTCAGGAGACGACAGACAAACATAAAAACAGTTAAATAAATCAATCATATTAAATAATGAGACATCTCTTGAAGTATTCTTTCTCTGTTTTTTCAATCAATACTACAGTTCCTTAGTTGCAATGGGAAGGGGGAAAAGGGAGGATTTTACTACACATTGTATTATCGTATTATTTGAACAGGTTAGGACAAGTACGAGGTTCCACTGAAAATGTGTCCAGGTGGGGCATATCAAAAGATTTTTTTAAAAAAGAAATCAATGGGGAAAACAAGCGAAAAATTGGTGAGAAGTGAGAACACGCCTTGCCTAGCCCCGCCTTTGGAGAAAATCTAGTTGAAACTATTTATAGTGATTTTTCAAGTCAAAGGATTCAGCCATAGCCAGCAAGCGTTCTGTCCCAGAAAACCACCTCCATGCTAGCAAAGGAAAGCAACTGGTTCTGCACAATGTTTCCTCATTTTATCAAACCATTTTCCTCGATCAATTCAAAGAGCACCAATTGGCTTTCAAGGAAACCATCGCGTGCGAATTGTCCATCCTCGCTGAGCAAGTGCCCTTATCACTTGGCTGGCAGCCTCAGCAGTGTCATTGAGCGGGGGATAACTCCAGCTATCAGTCATCTGTAACTTCGAACAACGAATCGTTCTCACTTTGTATACATATAAAGATAATACAAAAAGAAAGGAAAAACATCAACAATTATAGGTTTGGAAGGCACCCTAGTTCTGCCAAACAGATCACAGAAATAATCCTGATAAACCACGTCAAAATTCTTACATTAGCCATTATATTTTGTCAGGGCTCAGGAGTCGGACCTGATGAATCTACATGCTCATCTTTCACGCTTAGGATCACATCTTTGCATTAATATAGTTTCATTAAACAGAAAGCAAAGATAACCCATGAAAACTCCCTCCACCTCTCGACCAGTAATGGAGGAGCTAAACTAATCAACAAAACTCACCTTCTCCATTCCGGTGAAAGGTCGAACAACACCTCGCTCCAGCAAACGCTTTTGAAAGTCAGCAAACTTCCATGTACACAGTTCTGCTCCAATTACATAGACGGGCTTCCTGTAATATAAGATACTGAGTCAAGGAGATCAAAAGGTATGATGAAACTAAAACTTTTACGAGATGGATCCATGATCATATCTGGCACTTACCCAGTACTGCAAGCCTCACTCAACATACTAACTGAATCAGCTGTGATGACAAAAGCATCAGCCCAGGCCAGATGTCCCATATGTGGATTTGGTCCTGAATGAAATACCCCAAAAAAAAAAAAAAACACGTTATTTCCTCTACCAAGACACCAGTTTGAATTTTACTTTCAAGAATATGGTAGCCATGTACCTTCTCCATCCCATATTGTGACCTTCGGATTTGTGCTAAATTCTCTGACTAAACACCTGGAAATCTGCCATAAGAATGAAAAGCTGATGTTGTTGCCCTAACAAAGAAAGTTAGCAAAGGACATCTCAAGTGGGGCTCCCAGCACAAGTCGTGAAAGTGCCAGAGGTGGAAGCCAGAAGTGATTATGACTACACCCTTTGGAAGACAGAATGACATCATCTTT